CCCAAAGTTTGGGGAAATTCCCGGAATGATGTGTAGCCCATCATTCCGGAGTAACACTTCATAAGCATTCGATTATTAAACGTTAAAATTTTAAATTACAATTACGAATTGTCATTTCGATACAATAAAGACTTTTTCTCAGGAATAGTCTATCCACTTTCAGGCCTTGTTTTAATTCGTCAAACATACACGAGACAATGAATTGTCGTCTTTAAACCACTTTTTCAAAATTAGAACGTCATGCAGGTGAGTTCTTAGCATTATCCGAAACTTCTATTACTGTAGTTTTTCAGTCTCACTTAAGTAAATTTTACCTTTCAGGAAAATAATTTACAGCTTGATAAGATCGCTAAAAGAAGGGCTCAAGCTGCCAGAGACTTGAGGTTGCTGGTCTGTCCCAGATCAACTTATTACCGAAGGTTGCGCAAGTTGATTGATGAATTCGTTCGAAATTATCAGTTAAGCAGCAGTGACGAAGATGACAAGAATTCTGTTGTCATCACAGGAGTAGGTAGAACGGTAGCTACAGAGCAGTGTAACAGTATCGTCTCAGGAAAAGCCACTGCTTCATGTAGCTGTGTTCAGTGTGCTGGTAGTACAGCCAATGGTAGTGTATCTTCCTTAATTAACATACTTAATAATAGGTGGTGTGATTTCAGCAATGTCTCCGTCCAGTCATCTTTCAATGAAAGGAGAGTTCGACAGAATTGTCATAGGCATGATGACAGGTTGTGATATAACGGTTAAGAATGCTGACGAGATTCTGGACCTCTTTCGCGTTCGCATACCTGAAATACCGACATCCGTTCAAAGTGTTCTACGTAGATGCAACGACGTGGAGCCTAAAATTCTCGGAACGGGGACTTTTTACCATTTGGGGTTGAAATGAAGTCTGTTGAGGATTTCGGAAACTTGGCTACGTAAATTCCGTTTTACAGAAGTAAAGCTGCAGTTGAAATACGACGGTCTAAGCTTGTTTAAAATCTCTAACCAACAGCTGTGGCCGATACTAGGTCGCATAGCGGGTCCAACAGTTATTAATGTATTTATAGTTGGGATATATGGCGGTGAAGTGAAACCACGTAATTTCAACGACATGTTAGCAGCACTTATCACTGAGTTGCAAGAGTTGCTGACAGTAGGTATAAGTGTACATAAGTATCAGGTACATTTAACAGTAAAACTGGTTGCTGTTATTTGTGACGCTCCGGCTCGCAGTAACGTTCGGTATGTTGTTGGACACAACGGTACTGCTGGCTGTGACAAATGTCATGTTTCAGGGATACGAATGGGTGGTCGAATGATTTTCCCCAATGGTGAACACGAATTGAGAAATGATGCCACTTTTCGTAGTAGGTCGCAATCTACCCATCATCGTGGTAGAAGTTCATTTGAAACTCTGCCATCGGATATGATCAAATGTTTCCCCTGTGAACCCATGCATATGATTTATTTAGGTATTACTAAAAAATTTATTTCATTATGGAAGGATCTAGCTATTAACCGACTTAATAGGATGGATCACTCGATTATAGTTTCCATAAATGAAGCACTCAACTTATGTTGAGAGCACACTACATGCGACTTCCAACGTAAATGTCGTTCGCTACATGAAGTTTCTGTATGGAAAGCAACTGAATGTCGGTTGTTCTTACTATACTCAGGACCTGTAGTTCTTCATAATAGGTTACAACTCTCGATGTACAGAAACATCCTGTCGCTCTCTTTGTCAATATATTTATTATCGCACCCAAAGTTGCACACTACTTAACATAAACAACTTCTTATTAGGTTGCGAAAAGTGTTACGGCAGCGACCACTTAGTATACAATGTGCATAGTTTAAAGCACATTGCAGGGAACGTTTTAGAACATGGCAGTTTAGAGTCGTTCTCTGTGTTTCCTTTTGAATCATACATGAGGAGAATTAGGCGTTCAGTTCATTGCGGATTCGGTGCAGCTAAACAAGCCGGACAGCGCTATGCGGAAGAAGTTTACTTTCACAGTATAGTTAATAACGATTCTTCTGACAATCTTAATGAGCCTGAGTTCCCTTATTATTCTTCAAAGGCAGTCATCAATTACAGATACTCAAAGCTATCTACCACCAGGCCGGACAATGTTGTGATTGCCAATTGTCGACCTGGGTTTGTCACACAAATAGCCAATGGAGGTCGACTAAGGTTTAGAACATTCCAGGACCCTGTAGATTTATTTACTGACCCTTTCCCCTCTAGCTCTATCGGTATGTTTAAGTGTTCTATGTTAAGCCACGACTGTCACTGGATTACTATAACAGACATACTTTGTAAGTGTATTTGTTTGCGAACGCAAAATTATGAGGTCATTATCCCCCTGTAGCATACATTTAAATAATAAATGTGACATCATTTCTCAATAACTGTCGCAAAAATAGCACTTGTGGTAGTAGGTGTCTGTTGGTTAGTGCTTCGGTTTCCTCCATAACGATGTGTTAAGGAATGTTCATGAAAGTAATACATTTTTAACGCTTGAGCTTTCAATTACAGCATCAATCCGGAAAGTACATTTTGATTAATGATAAGGACAAGAAGCAAGTGATTTGCATTCCTAATAAATGGCTCTTGAACAATGAGCACTACGTTTATCGGGATGATGTTAAGGAGAATGACATCATTGATGGTGTGGATTTTGATAGTCAATTCACGTTGAGAAAAGGCACCGTACTGCATAGTTTTGGTAAGTTGTAATTACTTTTAATTCACTGTTTTTAGAGGACTACCATGTAGCCCAGGAAATGAAGAAGTGTTTAACCTCAGTACTCGGTTACAATAAGAAACTTACAACAGATGATGAAACTCTGCCGTGTGAAGCAGAAAAGCCAAAGAGGTAATTTTTCCAGCTTACTAAATCACTTTAGTGTTAGGGCTGCGAAACGTAAATTGTGTGACTATTTATGCACCTCTGAAGAACTAGAGGTGGCTGAGGTTGAAGCTGGATTTGCCCCGGTTGAATTTCCAGTTGTCAACACTTTGACCGGAAGGTTTTCACCCATAGCCAAGTATGTACCTATTTAATCCATACTCATAAATTAGTTCATCCACGCAGAGCTTTCATCACCACCCATTCCATGTACATCGACCGCCGTTGATAAATCGTAAGTTGCATTTACTTGTTTCCTGATAACAAAAGGTTCGGCGACGATACTAATAAACATTTGAGAATGCTGCTGAAGGCGGTAGGTGAACTATCGAAGAAGATGGATAAACTGATAACATACGTCGAACGCTTACCCATGGGTGTAACTGACAGGCGTACGGAGCCTGTAGACACGGCAGCTATCACATTCCCATTAAGAACGCATGAGGACTTGCGTTCTTTAGAAGCTGCTTTAGAGAACGTCCAGTTCCGGGATTACTTCGTAAGTTGTTACAGGTATTTGAACAAATTTTAGGTGGGAAGATTAAACGGGTTCCTGTGTGACGATTCTCGGAAATCAGCGAAAGCCTGTCTGAGTTACGTGCTCTCGCCGGAACTGGCGAACAATTACACTTTGCACGGAACCAACAGAAAATGTGGTATTAGTAAGTACAAATTTTACTCAACCGTTCAAATTAAGTACATACTATTGCATTAACACATCGATAGGTGTTCTGTGTTCCCATTTCCGAAGTGCGACCTGTACGGAAAAGGATTTGATACACGCTATGGGTACAGCAAGCCAGGCTTTCTTGCATGACGCAAGAGATAAAGTTAATAAACGCGGATGGCGATCCAAAGAAAAGGTTAGCCAAAGCAATAATACATATTGCACTTCGATTATTACTTTGTGATCAATGTTTATAGTGATAAAACTGTTGTCATATTCCTCTTTTTTTCAGCTGGCTTCACAGGCTTTATCTGACGTAACTGTAAGTTATTTGTTCGGATTATTGAAAGCATTGTCTAAGTATTAATAACGTCATCGACGTTTCACATTTCTTCATATGTGGTTGTAAACTAAAAAATTTTTTCATTTTTTTAGAACCTACCAAATGATAGTTCAACTTCTGCTTAACGTGTAACAGAAACGGAGCAATGAAAAACGTCGTATTAATAAATAATGTGTAATTTAATTAACTATAATAAAAATTGAAATATTTAAAATAACTGGTCTTTTAATGGAACCGATAAATTCATTGACGTTAAGTTGCTTGGCGAAAAATAATCGTATATCACAGTAAGAAATGTACGTGCGTATTCTCGCAAGGTTTTCAGTGTTGTCTGCATATATCGGTATAAGTTTTGCGTTAAAACGGTTGGGTTGAAGTACCCTAAAGTGTGTGGTAACGTAGGGGAAAAACCCCAAAGTGTGGGGAAATTTAGGGGAAAAACCCCAACGTTTAGGGAAATTTTGGGGAAGCCGCCAAAATGTGTGAAATTTTACTCAAAATTAGGAGCTTGGGACGTTATGAAGAGCAGCTAAAGAGAGTGTACAACAATATTAATCTCTTCGATTAATGGCTGTGGGGAATAAATTAGAATTATTGTCAGCAGGGGTTTTGTGGAGATTATAGTAATTTCAATGATTAAGATCATGAATCGGTTGAAGCTAAACCACCATGAAAAACCTGGAAGCACTGGACGGCTGTTTCGTCTTATTATGGGACTCCTCATCAGTGCGCACCCACGACCTCGCCCCCTGCGAGAGTAGCATTTATCGGTATTTGTCTGCAGACTGAAAAACTGAGTTCTAATATACAGAAAATCAGAGTACATTCATGATCGACAAAAATAAAGAAAAAATATATATTACTGTAAAAATGATTTTGCTCAAGAAAGTAGACATGGTATTCATGAGAGGATATTCATTTATAATGTCTTGACGATTTTATTGTTCACTGAAACATCATGAAATGTACATGTCTCTACGCACTCACCTGAAAGTTCCATCGAGAAAAAATGGATAATCCAGAGGGGGCTACTGGAATTGTCTCCAAGATCATCGAGACTTCTTTTCTTGATTTCGAACTTGAGAGTTTTAATGTGTCAAGGTCAACGCGGGTTCATTAAAATGTTTAAAAGGCCGGGGAAGGGTTGCTTAATGACGTTTCTAGTACTTACCTCGTTAATTTACAAGTCATCAGAAATAGGTAAATGCCATTAGCATTCTATAATATTGTTTGGATTTTGGCAAAGTCTACGGTATGTGGTTAGGTAGGAGTGTAATTTCCAGTTTTCCTAGTGACCACTGTGATAACGCAAAAATATTGAGTATCGATCCTCAAGATGTTTCAGAGTTATGTAGTTTAATTTACGGCCTATCGTTGTTCTTGTTTATAATGCTTCATTGTACTTTGTTTCGCTCGAGATGTGTGATTATAAACAAGTTCACTTGTTAACAAATAGTAAGTTTGTAATTTTTTGATAGCCATTCATTCTCTAGGGAAAGAGCTCGAGATATTATGTTAAATGGTCATTGTAGTCGCTATAAAGTTGTTGACACGTGAATTCGTGTTACAGTGATATGTTCTTAGTTTTATCAAACTTTTTTTTATTCCAGTAAGGATTAGGTATCCGCCCTGCTCGTGACTTGACTAACCTGTATTTATTCCCTTTGAGTGGCGCTACGAAGCAGTGAAGATCGTTACTGATAATTAATCACCTGCAACTAGCATTTTGTATGATAGGTTTCGTGACAATAATATCAAATACATGGCCAAACGAATTTGGTGAACTGGGTGAGACGATAATTTATAGACGACATCTGAACGACGCCGAAGTGACCTTGAGAGTGGACACCTACCGTTTGGACTAAATGAGGATTATAAATCAGTTATAATTCTCAATTACCGCTTACGGTTAGGGTTAAAAATGAGATTTAAGTTTTTCATTACGAACTAACATCAGCTTTAATGCCAAAACTATTTAGCCATATGTATGAGTGAATTCCGTGAGAAAATTCGTGACTGTCATATTTCTGATTAGTTCGTCCATAAATTATAATCTCGCCGTGTTGCACATTTTTCAGTACTTCATGTTCTTGACAACGTCTTCTAACGTTCTGTGTGCATAAACTTTATAAGTTTATTATTTGAAACCACTAATACGAAGTTTTTTTTAGGTTCAGTTACACCAGAAATTATTGTACTAGATACCAATGGAAATCAAAAAGAATTGGATGGGATCGCTATTGTTTACAATTCCTACGTCACTTTAATTTGCCGTACAGTATCTGACGAACACATTCTAAGATGGCTGTATGCACCATCACAAGATGAAACGTTTACGCCATTAAATAATACAGGCCATATTACCATTTCGTCTCAAAAAAATGAGGAAGTATCGTTGCTGCTCGTCAGCGTTCAGTTTAATATGTCGGGCGTATATCAGTGTACTAATGGACTTGCCAGTCGTCAGATAGACGTTCACGTTTATGGAGGTATTTTTGTTTAATAACTCAGTTTCTTGTTTAGTTTTAAACAAGATTAGTAGTACTGTCCACTTGATAAAAAAACATGAGGTGGTTGGTGCTTACAGTCTTCAGATTAACACAATAAATTCAAGTTATCATCCTGTTATTGCATGTGAATTCCGAGTTGGTTCAAATGGCATAAGATACACTACTGTCCGTTGGAGAGGCGGAAAGTATCATGTTAAACCCAATCTTTACAAAGTTACTGAGAGTCGAGACGAAATGTCTGGCATAATATGGAGTAATTTGACATTGCTTCATCCTTGTAAGCTTGATGATTTCACTCCATTTAATGTATAATACTTCATATTTCATCCCTAAGCTTAATCATTCATGTAACCTGATACTTGTCACAAGTGTAAAGATTTTTGTCTAGCGACTAATTAACCTAATCACTCGATTTCTGATTACTGGTGACGGGTTCCATTTCCACTTTATGTACTTAAATATAAGCATGTGTTTCCAGTTTTCACTTAACAATTGTGACTTATAGCCTAGTACACAAACATTTACTAGGCTAATGATTCGATAGTACATATCTTTTGTCTCACAAACTTATGCTCCTATAGAGACTTAACAAATCATTCATTAGAGGCACATTCAAACGTTACTTTTGAAATCTTCATATCATGGTAACATGAAGTAGCGAGCTATTAGAAACAAGAATTTTCAAATTATTTGCAAGGTTAGAGGCAATCGACTTTCCTAAATGTCTAGAACTTAGTTTTCTTTCAATTTTGGATGTTAACATCTTATTACATATCGTATATTCTGTATTTGACTCTACGTCAAATAAAAGCCACTATTCTTCACACTTTAAATTGGGCAACAGGCTTATCGCGTTAGTAATAACTTCATAAATCCTTAACATTCTCATTGCTGTTTAATTGACTTGTAGTGTCAGTTACTATGTTAAGCCCATGTAGTTTATTCTAGTTTCTGGACCTTGTCAGTTATTCACTTATCAACCTTGACTATTTTAATATGAGCGTATATGTGTACACTTCTTACTCTATTCGTCAAATATCTGTAACCTGTTTTTATCTGGCCATAAATTAACTCTTGATTAACTCGAGTTGACTTACTTGTCTTATCCACTATGCGTCATTTCGCTTCATTCTCTTCTCTTCGTCCCTCTGATTGCCTGTCCAGACCAGTGAGTATACAGAATATATGTATTCGAAAATCCATTCTCGTATTTGGCTTATTTACTTCCATTATCCATTAACACGAACGAAGTTGATTATTACATACAAAGATAACCGACATATGTATTTCAATAACATTCATACGATCCAATTGGAGCCTGATACCAAGCCACTAAAATGGGGAGACCGTCGATAACATCGTTCGATCTAACTAACTTCAAAATGAAGGGCCTCACTAAAGAACATTTATTTATCGTCTCAATTAATTGATCTATGATTTAGCTACTTTTCAGATTTATTTTTTCATTAGTTGTGCGCTAGTGAATAAAAGAATAAATTAGTCCTTTTACGTTCAGAAGTACATATTTGTGTCATTCAAGGTTTTATGGAAGGTAAGGGTTTCATGTCGCATAGTATGGAAAATATTGTCAATGCGTTTTAGAAATAGGAACTACCTCAGTTATCACTGATGCTTGTTTTTATTGAGTTTTAACAGGTTCATGTATATTTTACGAAATATGATGTGTTTATCGTTTGGAATTGTTTCTCTTAACATAGCCTATGACCAAGAACTATACGGAAAATATTATTGCATGTTCAATATTGTGCCTGGTACTATGGAGACAGCTGAATTACAAATAAGCAGTGAGCTAGTTTTTTTGACAATTTATTGCAATACTATATTAATACTTATGTAAAAATAGTAGTTCCAAATCGGTCGTTCAGGTTTTTTCACTGAATGACCAAATTAGGTATTTATATTGCTAGGAAATATTTATTACTGCCGAAATAATAGACTATCCGGTAAACATTCACCAGGTAGCTCCACAGCTCATCGCATGATCCTTTCAATAATCATTGGATTTCTTGAAATTCATTAATTTAAACTTTAAAATACTGTGAATTCAGGATACTCCGTCAGAATTTGTTAAAATGTGATTTTATTCACACGTTTTGAAGCTTTTAAACTATGGATGAAACTTTGTCTTCGTTAACTTCACAATTTTAGAGAATCACCTCTTAATGAAAATCGTACAAGTACTCGGTTGTATTTTCATTAATCCTCACAGGGCCGGCATTTAACAGTCCTTATCCTTTCTCGTTTGATCTTTAGTTGTTAATGATAGAGCTAGAGAGTAAATCACTCGTGATTAAAATTCCAGTTACGAATTTAAGCTGCGCTGTTTCGGTTATTCGATCATCACGAGTTGTGACCACGGTTCGAAAGATTCTGAACTTTTTGGTCTAAAGAATACCAAACAATGTTGTTTCGCAAGTGAATAAGTAAATTAAGAGATCATATAGCACTTACTTACAAAGTTTTCATTAATTAATATTAGTGCTTAATTCCCAATAACTCATGTTTTCATAGTTTACATCCAGGAATAATCTTGATTAGACCACTACTGTAAACTAGGTAGCACTGAACAGTCGTCAGTTATAGTATAACTAAGATCACTTCAAGATGAAAATCTAGTAATCTCCAAAATACCTGCTTGGTTATAATAATCCATTGTTACAACCATACATAATTACAAGCGTACCTGCACGCACATGTGATTCATATCCTGGCGTCTCCCTGATAACTGGCTGTTTTTTTTATCCAGACTAGGTAAGAAGAGTAAATGTTCGATGAATTTTAAGTCATTTTCGTATAAATGATAAGAAATCAAAGCTATACAATAAATTATATGGTTCAACTATAAACACCTTTATACTGCTAGATTTTGTTACATGCGTATGTTGTTTGGAGTCGTATCGATCATTCTCTGTACATATCTTATTTGCTTAGTGTTATATCCCGACGAGAACTATGAATGGTAACTTTGAGAACTATTTACGGACAAATATTATGCGTATAGTTATTTAGTAGCTAGATTGTGTATATCTATACCCTTATTACACGCTTTGTTTTGACCTATAAACTATTATTATACGATTTACCGTTGTTGAGTTGTGCTCAGTCTATTAATTACAGTCTCCCACATTCACAGCCACTTTTGGCTAGATCTTGTACAAGTATTCTTTTCTTTTTTATGGTACGATGTGGTCTGTTTGGTTTGTACATAAACCCAGTATGTTTAAAATACTTGATTCGTATCTCAGAGGCTGACATTGGTGTTCTGGACTTAACAGACAGGTCTAGGCAGGAAGAAGGACCGATAAAGTCTCTAGACTGCTAGTACGGATTTTATTTGTCATTGGTCCGGTCGATAAATCACTGTAATATATTAATAGGATACAAGACCACAAGACATAACACTTACAATTAGACAAAAGTAATAAGTTTCGGTAATGTGTTGAGTAGACGGTAAGTAACAAGTGGAAAGGAAAAAACAATAAAATTATTAACAATTAATGTGTTTAAAAAGGTTAGGAAAATATGTAAAACCACCGAAAATAAAATATTACTGAAGGAGGAAGTGTTATTTGAAGTAATATATAAACAGTTTATCCATTTCGTCAAAAGTGTACGATTATCTATTTCAAGCTGTAAGTTTTTATCAACATGTATAAATAGGTTTCGATTTAATTTAGGGAGAAAGCAACTATCACTATTTGTAGGTTATGTGATGAACGTTGAGATGAACTACATTTTTAAACTGGGAAGCGTTTCAGTTTTTCAAGTTGGACTTAGGAATTATTACAATCTCAACATACTACATCCTAAATTTACTCTTGAACATGATATATTATCCGTACTTTCCGGTCGAGTTTTGTTCTTTGAAGTGGATGGCTTAATCGTCGAACTTCTACTGAAATCTTGTGCTAATGATGTTGCCCGGAAGACTACAATTAAGTCATCGAGCTCAGATAACGAAACTCAACCAGAACCGTTCACCTGAACTACAAATTTTCTGCATCTTAATATTCATAATACTGATCAATTGTATCTGTGTAGGGTTTTTTAAATAGTATTGTTGTACAAAAAATATTTATTCTTTGTGTCTTATTTACTAATAATTGAGTTTAATTGATGCTATAACTTAAAATTAACCGTTAAACTAATTTATTTTTTCCTTATATCTTCATACTGGACAATTTTTCTTATATACATATCAAGTTCCACCATTGATACACAAAAATGAACGTAGTGTAAATCTATATTCTGGTGTGAAATACGCTTACTTCTGTGATATTATTGCCTATCCACCAATCACTGAACCTATTTCATGGATGAGGAACGATGTTCCTCTAGTAATCCAACATAATGGTCGAGTTACTGTTCATGATAATTCTGAAAATCGTATACATTTTGAAAGTAAAAACGTTCTCAATGATCAAATCGTATTCGATACAATACAACCAGATGATAGAGCTGTCTATTCATGTTTTGTTCGTGGAGCATTTGGAAATGATACAGCAGCTTTCTTTTTACGAGTAAAAGGTTGGTTTTTATTTCAAACTAAATTTTTCTGATAGAAATATTGAACTTTATATGGTTAAATGTCTAATACAAGACAATATGAATTCAATCAACAAATTTTTTTTGTTTACGAAATAATGTGGCCTGTTTCGATTCGTTCGTCGATAAGATATTAATCATTCAAAAAATACATGGCAATAATATGTTTTCTTAATACATGTAACATTAAGTGAACATTTTATAGTCTGGAAATGTATTCTAACTAGTGATAATTTTTTTTAGCCTATTTTCACCCTTTTTCCTTTTTTTTCATATTTTTCTTGTTTATCCTAACATTTTTGTGTGTATTGCTGTGAACTGTAGTGACATGAATATATAGAGGAGTATTTGGTTTTATACTTCAAAGGTTTGTTCTCTGCAGATAAATGCTGTAAGGAATTCAGTTCTTATTTTCCATATGAATTTAATGTGCCAGAAACCAGTGTATTCAGTTTGTGAATATATGATAAAAGTGTACAGAATGTAGATCTGAAATCTTCAAATCATCAGAATGGTTTGTACGTAAATATTCTCTGCCCAATCTGTTTGAATTCGATAGTTTTAATAATTGTGTTTAGCTAAAGAGACTACTCTTTACTCATACTTATCTTGTATACACGACAGTCAGTCAGTCACAACGTAAAACCTGTACGTACGTATGTGTTTTTTCAGGTCTCCATACCCCATTAACTCAGAGAGATGAAGTTGTCAGGCCAAATCCCAGAAAAGTAGATTAATATAAAGTGTTAACTTGAATCAGTTTATAAGCGAAATGAAATTGTGCGATAAAGGATCAAAATAAATATGGTCAACGTGGGGTGAGAGAAAATAATGGAATAAAAATCTGAAATTACGTAATATGTAGAATATCTGGACCAACTCCAGAAAATCGAACTTATGTACCCAGAAGAGGTATATTTAGCCTCTATGTTCACCTTGGCCCACGACTGGATCACCTCTCATTTCATATTTTCATACAGCAATATTATTATTAACACCTCGATTAATAAGATGAAATTCTTCTATTATTCATTTTACTCACACGATTTTTATTTTGTTACATTACTATTATACTGATTATGACTTGACACTTTACTACAAATCATTCTGACCTTTCTAATTTACAAATAACATCATTTTGGGGTAACAGATGCAAACGTTCACCATTTTTAACACATAAAATTATCAAATTCATTAATGAATGCCTTATTTTGCCTTTTGTAAGATATTATAATTATGGACTTATAACTGTATAGCCTTATAATGAAGTTGTTGAAAACAATTGTCCGCTCAAATATCTTCTACTTTGTATGATTTTTTAGTCTAGATAAATATTTATTTTATAGCATGTAGTCAACCAATACCCCACACCAGTGTTCGATAGGAAAATAAATCCACTATTATTGTTCTGTTGTCTAAATTCAAAAAAAATATATGTGAGCCTAACAAAAAAAATTGCAGTTTTCATGACTTCTCTCAACAGTATGAATATGCTATTTTCAATTCTAATTTTTGACTGCCTTTTAATTCGTTACATTGTAACGCTTTTTTCACGTAGTAAATTTTATCGATTCTATTTTAATATTGTTGATGAATTCTTATCGAAGCTTCTTGTTAATTTGTTATTTTCATTTCATCAAAAGTAAAAGCAAAAGCTCACACCTTATATTAGATCTTTCGTTTTCCACACTTTTTTTTCTATCAAATTTATGTTTAATTTATTTTCGTCTGAAACTGTAGTTTTATCTTCTAATCATAACTGTGAATCAAACATTTATTAAGATAAAGGAGGAGGGTTGGGCATGGGGTTAGCGACTCCATCCCGTAGAAAACTAACTCACTAAAATAACGCTAACCAGAAAAAATAATTCAAACCATTTAAACTCTGCCCTGGGAGTTAGAAGGTCTTCATTTAGATGCAATACGACGCCTCATGGTGAAAGCCGAGTTCCTTCGGAAGCCACGAGCCCTATGCCTCTTCTAACAACCAGAGAAACAATTTTTATAGGTACATGGAACGTCAGGACAATGTAGGAGACCGGAAAGACCAGTCAAATAGCAACGAAAATGAGGAGATACAACTTGGCAGTACTGGGAATCAGCGAAACCCATTGGACCCAAGCTGAACAACAAAGGCTAAATACGGGAGAGATGCTGCTATACTCCGGTCACGAAGAGGAAAATGCTCCACACACTCAGGGAATTGCTCTAATGCTGTCCAAAGCAGTACGAAATGCACTTGTAGGAATGGGAATCTCACGGATCCAGAATCATCGAAGCATCATTCAAAACAAAGAGGGAAGGGATCACAATGAACATTATCCAATGTTATGCACCCACCAATAATAGCAACGACGACATCAAAGATCAATTCCACGAGAGGCTGCAATCAATCATAGAGAAGTGCCCAAGAAGGGACATCACCATTCTGATGGTGAAGATATCATGGGACTGCATGGACTGGGAGAGAGCAACGAAAACGGGGAAAGATTTGTAAATCTGTGTGCATTCAACAAATTGGTCATAGGCGGCACAATATTTCCACACAAACGTATACACAAAGCCACATGGATCTCACCGGACCACACCACAGATAGCCAAATAGATCATATTTGCATCAATAAAAAGTTCCGAATGACAATGGAAGATGTGAGAACCAGGAGAGGAGCGGACATAGCTTCAAACCACCATCTGGTTGTGGTCAATTTAAAACTGAAGCTAAAGAATAACTGGACAACTGGACAAACAGCGCTGAAAAGGTTCAATACAGCCTTTCTTCGAGATACCGACAAACTGAATGAATTCAAGGTAGCTCTCAACAACAGGTTCCAAGCCCTACAGGATCTACTGAAGGAAGGAGAAACCACTATGGAGGATAACTGGAAAGGTATCAAAGAAGCATTAACTTCAACGTGTCAATAGGGTTCTGCGCCCAAAGAATCATCATCACAAGGAGTGGATCTCTATAGAAACACTGGACAGGATCAAAGAAAGGAAGAACAAGAAGACAGCAATTAACAACAGTCGAACGCGAGCAGAGAAAGTCCAAGCACAAGCTGAGTACATAGAAGCAAACAAGAAAGTGAAGAAGAGCATTAGAGCTGATAAGCAAAAATACGTGGAAGAACTAGCAACGACGGCGGAAAAAGCTGCAAGAGAAGGAAATATGAGACAGCTTTACGATACGACGAAGAAGCTTGCAGGGAAATACAGTAAACCAGAGAGACCAGTCAAAGACAAAGAAGGAAGACCGATCACGGAGATTCAGCAACAGCGCAACAGATGGGCAGAGTACTTCGAGGAACTCCTGAACAGGCTGGCTCCAATGAATCCACCGAACATCGAAGCAGCACACACAGATCTTCCTATAGATGTCAATCCACCAACGACCGAAGAAATCAGAATGGCCATCAGATAAGTCAAGATCGGGAAAGCAGCAGGACCCGACAATATACCAACTGAAGCACTGAAGTCAGACATCGAAGTAACTACGAACATGCTTCATCTTCTATTCAAGAAGATTTGGGAGGAGGAACAAGTGCCGATTGACTGGAAAGAAGGACGCCTCATTAAGATTCCAAAGAAAGGAGTTCTGAGCAAGTGTGAAAACTACAGAGGCATCACACTACTGTCAGTACCACGAAAAGTTTTTAACAGAACGTTGCTGAACAGGATGAAAGACGCAGTTGACGCTCAACTTCGAGATCAACAAGCTGGATTCCGTAAGGACCGGTCGTGCACAGACCAAATTGCGACACTACGGATCATCGTCGAACAATCGATTGAGTGGAACTCGTCACTGTACGTCAACTTCACTGATTATGAGAAGGCATTTGACAGTGTAGATAGAAGAACGTTATGGAAACTTCTTCGACACTACGGAGTTCCTGAGAAGATTGTCAACATTATCCGGAACTCACATGACGGACTACAGTGCAAAGTAGTGCATGGAGGACAGCTGACAGACGCATTCCAAGTAAGGACTGGAGTCAGACAAGGCTGTTTACTCTCTCCCTTCCTCTTTCTTCTGGTGGTCGACTAGATTATGAAGACCTCGACATCTGAGGGAAAACACGGCATACAATGGACAGCTCAGAACCAATTAGACGATTTAGATTTCGCAGATGACCTATCCCTCCTATCCAATACACACGAACAAATGCTGATAAAGACAGTCAGCATAGCAACAGTCTCTGCATCAGTAGTCCTCAAAATACACAAGGGGAAAACCAAGGTCCTCAAATACAACACGGAGAACACCAATCCAATCACTCTTGATGGCGAAACTCTGTAAGATGTGGAATCCTTCACATATCTGGGAAGCATCGTCGATAAGCAAGGAGGTTCAGATGCAGACGTCAAGGCGAGGATTGGCAAAGCAAGGGCCGCATTCGTTCATTTAAAGAACATATGGAACTCAAAACAACTGTCTGCCAACTAATATCAAAGTCAGAATCTTCAATACGAACGTCAAGGCAGTTCTACTGTACGGAGCTGAAACTTGGAGAACTACAACAACCACCATCAAGAAGGTACAAGTATTTATAAATCGTCGTCCACGCGAGATACTCAACATCCATTGTCCGGATACCATCAGCAACAGCCTATTGAGGGAGAGAACAAACCAGCTTCCAGCTGAAGAGGAAATTAGGAAAAGACGATGGAAATGGATAAGACATACATTGAGTAAATCATTAAACTGCATTACGAGACAAGCGCTAACTTGGAATCCTGGAGGGAGGCGGAAAAGAGGAAGGCGAAAGAACACATTACGTCGGGAAATAGAATCGGATATGAAAGGGATGAATAAGAACTGGAAAGAGCTGGAAAGAATTGCTCAGGACAGTGTTGGATGGCGAATGCTGGTGATCGGCCTATACTCCTTCACGAGGAGTAACAGGCGTAAGTGAGTAAGTAAGAATCATGCATTATGAATGACTTGGGAATTTCTATTTTTTCGCTTCCGTAGAATAAATTTCATATTAATGATTACAAGTACTTATGATTAGTAAATCGTGATTAGTACTGTCCCAATGTATTTATCATTATATCGGTGGTTGTCTTGATCTTTCACTTGGATAATTGATGGAAGCATAAAAACTATTTACTTCATTAAGATTTATTAAAGTCATTGAAAATCTAGTCTGAGACTAGTTAAATAAGTAATGTTCTTTTGGTATTATCCATCGAATTGTAAATACTGTTGTGTATTCTCTGAGTGTTCAGGATTGAGCTGTAAACTGTCAGTGTAAAGTTATCAGCTAACTAATATAAATTTGGATTTCCTGTTTATTGAATTAGTTATGTCTGACTTGTTATGCTTGCTGGATGCTTAAGTGGCTTACAGTCAAGCATCTATAACCGACAGATATAACTATTTGATTAAGTTGCATAATCATTCCTCAAGATGTGATTACATGTCACAGACGATCAATTTCATATGTCAGTACCACTCCAATCGATTAAGCCGGTGCTCATTGAAACTTATATATATAGACATACGTGATCACAGTAAAACTGATTTAGTGTGTATATGACTCGAACGTATTCTGGATAACTCTGTTGTAGAAGTTCCTAACACTTATCTGCTAGCTAACAAAACTTTATGTTTTTAAGATCCGTTTGTTATCAACAGTTCCATAAATTATTAGAGTAGAATATAAGGACATGTTGAAATCGAAAATCAATACACGTTTGGTAAAGTTCATCGACTTCTTAGACCCTCTTACATAGAGCTGTATGGATCACATTATTATGTATCAAACTTCAAATTTTGTCAGCCACTTCAATAATGAATTGTCTATAAGTTTATAATTTTATGAGATCGTTGTAAATGTCTTCACAATGAGATTGTTATTCGTACAACCGATTCTTCACTGTACCATCTCAAGTTTCTAATCATTGATTTCTCGTAAAATGTGTAGACGTGATATGACTCTGAGTAATTGATATTCTGCAACTATACGTCGAATCTAACACGGAAATAGGGTATTATCGAACCCTATCTTTCATTCAGTACATGACGTTTTTATATCAATCAGATGGTTTATAAGGCTAAATAGTTTAGATAGTATGTAATCGTTACTGTTGTTATAATTTTGATTCGAAGTTGTGATGCTTATAATTATAAAGCACCTTATATCTTCATATAGTAGTCAGCATCAATAATTATTACAGTTTAAAAAAGATTCAGTGTAACTGCATAAACAAGTTTCGTCTACATCTGCTTACTGTTTGTTTGCAATATAGATCGTCGTGCTCCTCTATGGCCTTTAATTGGTATTATCCTAGAAGTGGTAGTTTTGTTCATAATTATTTTAATTTATGAATTAAAACGCCGTGAGCGTACTAAACGAGAAGAAGCTGGAGAAAATTTGGTCACATCTAGCAAAATGCCAAATACAGAGTATGGAATTGATGAAGCGAGTGAGAATATGTAAGTTGTTTACTGAGGAGTAAATTTATTCCTGTAAGCTAATTATTTTCTAGTTATATCTTGTTTTTATAATATGGCGCAGGATACGTTTTTTTCTCTCAATTAAATTAGCTCAGAATCTTGTGCATCTTTGACCAGGATTGTTGAAATGCTGCAACTTAATACGCGAGCATATTTGTGTTTCATCACAAATGAATTGAAGTTGAATGATAATCAGAAATTATAAACTTTCATTTGAATAATAATATTTCATAGATTATGGCTATTTCCAGGCAAACTTCAGATTATCGAGTTTTGCGTTGATAAATTTTAGTCATCTCTGTAAGGATAACTGCGATAACTTATTTCTGATGCAGTTTGGTTGGTTGTTGCCATTTTTAGTTCGTTAGTTTTGCTGTGTCTCAGTAGTGTTTCATTGCTTTAACACAGTTATTGTGCCTCGGATTTAACTTTCTTGAATATCAAGCTTCTCCTGACTTCTTTCTGTCTTCCATCCCGCTGGGGGACTATTGTCGTAGTTCTGTATCAGTCATCCGACTTAACTAGTTTACGTAAATCTTTTTCTGTATATACAGTGTACTCAATCATTTGTAATTAAAAGCTACTGTAGTTCAATAAAAAACTTAACATTTCCTTGCTATGAATATTTCAAGTTCAGTCATGATAAGCAACTCAAGCTGCTGTTTTTTGATTTTCTTACACCAGCATCTGAGGTCCAGGTAGTCAGATGTATCTTTTATAGACTACTAGTCATCGATTGGTAGATTATTTTTAACCATGAAGAAAATTGAGTGATTACATGTGTCTTGAAACATTTGTGATGTCTAAACTAAAGAACTATACAAAGTATGAAGTGTATATTCACAAATAAATACTGTCTGTGATAGTCATCTGGTTATCTACACATTGTTATTTTGGTTTGTTGCTCCTCATTATATTTATGGGATTTTTTAAAAGTTACAAGCAGGATAAATAAATGGTTAGTAGATGCATGACTTTTATTCTTTAACCTTTACTTCTATTTCAATCGAAGAAGAAGCATAATAATACATAGTTTTCGGTTGTAATATTGAATTTAATAGTATGACCAACCACGGAATTGGCAAGTTTCTACTAGGTTACTTGTCTTATGTATTAGTGTAAACAGTTTTCTTAAAACAGTTACATCTAGGGAGATTATACAAACTTTTCTGGAAAAACTTGGATTAATAGGTTTTATGAATAAGAGGTTTTTTTAGAGATTTACTATGTCAATAAAAAACAATTTTTAGGAGAATTAAAATGGGACTTAAAAAATCAATTCATATAATTCCTTTTTAATTCGTTTGCAATCGTTAAAATCCGATCATTTATAATTTGTACTTTTGTCTGTTTTAAAGTAGGTTTCCATGTTGCTATAAGATTAATGTTTCTACAAACATGCAGCTTACATGTTTATGTGTATAATAATACCTAGTCTGTTCCTGCTTCGGTTTGGGCGTCCGGACAGTATTCCAGCCAACACAAATCGAAAGATTTGTATGGTGCTTATCTATTTGGTGCCTCCCTGTACCAATGTTTATATGTTTAAATAAGCTTGTCCCAGTTAAAATGTTCTTAATTTTAAATTGAAGTTTTACTTATGCAACATTAATATTTGTTTAAGATAATTTCGTGATTTGCAGAATCTCTCCTATTCCAGTTTTATTAACCATATAATATAATTAGTTCTTACACAAACCGTGTGAATCAAAGCTATGTATAGAAATCTGTTCCTGATAAACTAATTCCATAATTATATGAGTTATTTATAGTTGACATTTGATTTGTTTTTGATCATTTTGGTTATCATTTTGTTTTCCTGATTTACACTACATTCTCTAAACCAAAACAATAACAAACCACTATATTCCAGAAATTCCTAATACACAAATTATATGTATTAATGGCGAAGCTTTGCATATGTATTGTCATCATAATCCTTTTTTTGTTAAAAAATACTGTAGACTATATGGAACTATAACAGGATGGGCATAAAATTTAAAATGAAATAAACATGCTTAGAAATATATGTTATAGTTTAATTTTTCAAACCGTTTTAAGAACAGAAGAATGTCGCTACTTTTTCTAAAATGCGTCTTATTTTATATGTGTCAGAGTTGAAGTAGATCGTTTCTTAGGTGGTCACTTTCCAGTTTTCCATTTGAACATCTACCTACACAATAATAAAACATCATTTTTTAAATCTTGTTTATTCGCTGGTAATCATATTGTATTTGTTTGTCATTCTTTCCATTGAGATCCAGAAATTTATGTATATCATTGATTCTATCCTCAGGACTTTTATCTTTAGTGAAACTGTTCTCATCGACCAACCTGGTTTAAGCTGTATATACATCAGCTTTCACATTTTCAAGTAGCATCCTATCGCACGGATATTGTGATTGGGAAATGTGCTAACATTTAACTGTTTTGACAGTTGTTCAATAAAATCAGTATACTCTACGCGCTCCTGGTCACATAATAGGGAATTTGTAATCATGATTATAACTAGTATTGATTTATTCGCGTTATGTGATAATATCAGGAGACAATATCCGGGATATACTACAAGCGAGGTATATCATAATCGTTTATGGTTCGCCTATCTCCATGCTATTTATTGTCTTCTATTTTTTGACATTCTTCTGCCTTCTTTTTCAGGTTATTACGACAACGAGGTGATCGTCACTAGGACAACATGTCAAAATTCCATCATCATTGTATTAAACCATTTTACATAAAATCCAATGTATTTTCACATACACGTACACATACGCTTTCTATGATGGAAATATGTTTTTATTTTTTTCTTTTCTCAGAATATTATTCACTATACAGTAGCAATTTTCTTATTACATTATTATATATTTTACAGATTATGTTATTTATTACGTAATTATCTTTCAGATGGTTTTCATATTATCATCATTCATTCGACATAATATTTCGACATTGATTGATGCTCATGGTGCATTTTTTTTCTTCAATGATTTCCTCATATTGTTATGATCCTTGAATGTGATATATATATAAATATATACTACTGTCGGCTCACTACTCATTCTTATATGTATAAATGGAAATTATTCACATAATTACAAATTTCTTCATCCTACTTTACACACAATTATACGCTTTGCATATCATAATGCACTGTATCTTCCCTTTAATATTATGATTTTGTCTTTTCTAATAAAATATGCATTTAAATCCTTATACACAATGGTTTTTTTAAAAAAAGAAAATGAATTATTAGTTTATACAAATGTTTTTTCTTAGGGATTTATTCGTATTAAATTCTACTGTTCTTTTTTTTGTTATCTCCCTTTCATATTTCTCTTTTCTTTTCTTTATACCTATCTACCTATACTTTTCATATTGTTATCATTGCTATTATTATTATTATTATTATTATTCATTTATCTCCTATAATTTCTAGTCATTTATGAATTCATTTCCATGATAGATAGAGATTTAGATTACTATTATTATTATTATTAACACACCCAATGAATTATTACGATTATCATTGTTAATATTATTTTGGACTATTATATAAAAGCTGTTAATTTAACATTCTCTGTCTCTTAAAAACATACACACGCACATTTCTTTTTCTTTGGCCTTTATTCACAAAATTTCCTCCTTAAAATTTTTTTACCTTGTTAATATTCAATTAATAATATTTTCCTTTGTTCAATTGTTTAATATGACAAAAAAGGAGAATACACTTTTAGTATATAGTAATTTATAGGAGCGTATCTGTTTTTATTTCTTAATGAGTTTATTTAAACTTGCATGTTAATTTGGGGTTTTTGGTTTATTTTGTGCGTAACATCGATACAGAGTTGAAGCAATAGATTCCTAGTTGGGCAAAAACACCTTAGTGCTGTACTTTTTTTAACGATTGAATTGTTTAAAACTTTATTTGTTCATTGTTAAATGACGTTATTGATGTAGTTGAAGGGTTTTTTGGAGATTGGTTTGATTTGTTAGTTGGTGATTTTCACAAATTGATCTTAATGTGGGTATAATTAAAAAGCAGAAAGCACTAGATAGGTATTTCGTTCTACTACGAAATCCTCAGCAGAAATCAATCTGGGATGAACACAAAAAATTTGATCAGTCTTCATGAAATCCTTCAACTATAATATTCAGCTACCTACTTCAAGAATTTCTAGTAAGAATTCGTTGAGAGATGACTAAAATTAGAAATGTAAGCCACTGGGTACCAATTCAGTTATATGTAGTCTAAATGTACGCTTTGAGGTCTAGAGGTTACGGATGTCCAGTGCTCCCTGGTTCTTTCGGTGGTATTCACTGCATAATCAAGTAGGTCACATCGCATGGTGAATTACATACTTTGGTATTACAAACTGCTATAAATTTGTTAAATCATTTATTCTTGAGGATATTCTTCGTGAAGACAAATTCCAAAACACTTATGAAGTATCAGGTACTTTTAATTATTCTGCTAAATAAGGTACTCGTAGTAAATTTAAAGGTCGAAACTTTGGTTAAAAGCTTACACAAGCTATTCGAACTAAGTCATTTTCATATAAATGTTAATTTTTCTGTGAATCCCGTTAGTTTGTCTGTGATTTCGTCTGAGTCATGTATTATAACGAATAATATTCAAGCTACATAATCACTCTAACATATGTCTAGTTATTATGGTTAGTTCTTTTTATAACATTCTCTTATGTGTTAGCATTAATACATGTTTTAAGTTAATTATGAAATAGGGAACCGGTTACAATGAATTAGTATTACTCACTAATGATTACATAATCCACCCCATAAGATAGTGGTTTTGTAATATTAAAAAGTCACCTAACATTCACTGTCAGTGGCAATGTATAGCTTTAGTGTAAACAACTTCATAAGAGTAGGAAATTAACGATCTATGTTGGTTGAGTCACATTATTAGTTATTAATATCTTCTATTTTCACCGAACATTAACCACTGTAACACTTAAATTTCTAATGATCAGTTCTTCAGGCATTATGATGACTATGGATTGTGTTATGATGATTTGATTACGATTGATGGTCTGTATCTGTAATTCCATCTGGTTTCGATATATTCTGGATTACTATGATCTCGTAAATCGTGAAAAGAATGACAACTTCGATCTATTATTCCCTAGTTTTCATAAGCTGATTACCTCAAAGCCACAAGAGATTTTTCATAGGTGACTATTAACTCGAAATTCTTTGGGATAACGTGAAAGTGTAATATTAAAAAGTATTATAAGAAATCCGATGCTTGCTTACACACAGCGATAGTTTTGCTGATTATTTTATATTAAAGAATGTAGTATCAGTATTGTTTTTATGCAGAAAAACGTATTGCCAATTTCAATATAGCCTTTTTCAAATTACAATAATTGAAATCATAAGTCATTTGAAGCTTGACCACCATGGAAGCACTGGATGACCAAGTCTTCCTAGTATGGGACTTCTCAGCAGCGCGCATTCACGATCCCGCTCCAAGCGAGATTCCAACCCAAGACCTATCATTCTCGCGCATGAGCGCTTAACCGTTAGACCACTGAGCCGGCATCCAACGGTGTTAATGTCTAACTTCAACCAATCCAACTCAAATGAGCCTAAATGGTATTAGAAATAATGAAAAATTCATCGTACTCATAACTTCTCTACATTTCGCTAAAAATAAGAGAAATTTATCATTCAGGGAAATGAGAGAATATAATCGACTAGAATTTGTTCTGCAAACGATGCATTTTTTGTTAATATGTTTGAGGAAATATTCAATCATCAATAATAAATGTTGTTATGACAACAGACAATTAACTTTTTCTAAATTGACATAAATACGCATGCTTAAAAAAGATATTTGTATAAACTAACAATACATTTTAAAAAAATATAAATTTAAGTGCAGTTTTTGTTGAATAGAAAAGCATAATAAAAATAATAATAATGGGGAGATATTGTGCGTGCGAAAAGTATTTGTGTATGAAATGAATTGATCAGATTTGTTATAATAGTTAACTTTCATTAAAGTCATTTATTTGCCTCCTGTACTATACCTTTTATTTAATCGTTCAGTCTCTTATCAATGGTACTTTTGAACTGTACATAAGATAATATATATCGAGAATTAATATAAAAGAGCAGTATATACTTGTTTATTTTATATCCGCTAATGATAAACAGATAGATTATTTACGACAGTATTTTATTTTTGTGATCAATTAAAAACTTTTGAATTCTTTCTACCTGCTTGAATAAACGAGGAAATTGAAGGTAACTTTCGAATTATATTACTAACTAAAAATCAATATATATATGCTTCAGTTTACAATTCTAGGGACTTACAGCACATAAACTGTTCAACATTTATTAGTGGCATTTATTAATTAACTGTTGTTTAATCTGCAAACTTATTTAACTGTGTTAATTTGGAAAAAAAGTTTACTGTTGTCATAACAACAATTATTATTGATGATTGAATATTTCCTCAAACATATTAACAAAAAATGCATCGTGTGTAGAGTAAATTCTAATCGACTATATTCTCTCATTTCCCTGGATGATAAATTTCTCTTATTTTTAGCGTAAGAATACGATGAAGAGCGTAAAGAAATCAAATCTAGATTAAGCAAAAGTCTAAGGAATGATCGTGAGCAGTGGTGGGCAACGAAAGCAAAAGAGATGGAAAAGGCGGCGGCTATAGGGAACACAAGACAACTCTACAGACTAATAAAAGAAACTGGAATTAATAAATCAAGTGTAAGTCAGACCATTTCGGAAAAAGACGACACTCTCATCTGCTCCCAGTCCAGACGCTTAGAACGATGGGCGGAACACTTTAAGGAGCAGTTTAGCTGGCCTTCAGCTACTCTACAACTACCCTCTATTCCCAGACAGTGTGAATGGAACATTGAAGTAGGTCCCCCAACTCTAGCTGAAGTTCAAAAGGCTATAGCTAATCTGAAGCGAGGAAGGGCAGCTGGTCCAGACGGATTGGCCCCAGAGGTCTTTAAGGATGGTGGTCTAGTTTTAGCGATTAGGTTGACTAATATTTTAGCTAAAATCTGGGAGTTAGACGTTATCCCATCTAACTGGTCACAATCACTTATCGTCCCAATATTTAAGAAAGGGTCAAAATCATCCTGTGACAACCACAGAGGGATTAGTTTGACTAATATAGTATCTAAAATACTAGCTTCGATAATTTTCGGACGCCTAACTAAGACTCGTGAACTGCAAACACGTGAAAATCAGGCTGGCTTCAGACCTGGTCGTGGTTGCATCGACCACATATTCACCATTCGTCAGGTTCTAGAACACAGGCATACTTATCGGTGTCCGACAATGGTGGTATTCCTTGACTTAAAAGCAGCGTTTGACTCTGTTGACCGAGAGGTTCTGTGGCAGTGTCTGTCATTGAAAGGCGTACCTCAGAAGTACATAAACCTTGTGAAGGCTCTTTACTCGAACACTACTAGTCGGGTCAGAGCCTATGGCGAACTGTCATCTGCTTTTGCAACCTCAAGTGGCGTCCGTCAAGGCTGTCCACTTTCTCCTTTTTTGTTTAACTTCATCATAGATCTACTGATGGAAATAACGCTCTCATCGACTGACTTCTCGGGTATTGATCTCCTACCAGGAGGTCCACTTATTGACTTAGAATACGCAGATGACATAGTCCTGTTTGGTGAAGACGCTGATGAAATGCAGAGTCTTTTGGTAGCACTGAGCAACAATGCTAGAATGTTTGGGATGCGCTTTTCTCCCTCTAAATGCAAGTTGTTGCTTCAGGACTGGTCTGCATCAACACCTGAACTAAGGATAGGGGGTGAAGTCGTCGAACGCATTGACAACTTCACTTATCTTGGAAGTCTGATCAGCCCTAATGGGTTGGTGTCTGACGAAATCTCAGCACGGATTCGAAAAGCTCGCTTGGCCTTTGCCAACTTACGTCATCTATGGCGAAGGCGAGATATCCGTCTATCAATTAAGGGACGAGTATACTGCGCGGCAGTTCGTTCCGTCCTTCTATACGGCTGCGAAACATGGCCTTTAAGAGTGGAAGATATTCGTAAGTTACTGGTATTTGATCACAGGTGCCTTAGAAACATTGCGGGTATCTGCTGGGATCACCGGGTAAGTAATAGTGAGGTTAAACGTAGGGTATTAGGGAATGATGGTAAATCAGTTGATGAGGTTATGAATTTTCATCGACTGAGATGGTTGGGCCACGTGTTGCGTATGCCTGAACACCGATTACCACGACGCGCAATGCTGACTAGTGCAAGGGATAATTGGAAGAAAGTTAGGGGCGGCCAAACCAAAACGTGGCATCAGTGCTTGAAGTCACTAACTTCTGGGCTGAGCCATGTTGGGAGATTCAGACTGCCTGGTTGGGGTCCGCGTGACTATCGTAACCAATGGTTGGAGACTCTTGGTGACATGGCTCAGAATCGATCACAATGGCGTCGGTGTATACACTCTCTGTCTTCCTTTAAATTAAGAGATTAAAATCGCTTCATATCTGTCTAGGAACTAATTCTTTCTTCCTTTACTATCTCCTTATACACAATCTTTCTTCTATATATTACCACCACTGAATTAACTACTTCTATGAATCCGGTGTTCAAATTGTTGTGCTAATGCGGTATGGCAACTTGGACCGATGCATATACGTGCCTGGTCCTACGTTGCAGCTGACTGACTGACTGACTTAGCAAAATGTAGAGAAGTTATGAGTTTTATTATTTCTAAAATTATTTAGACGAGTTTGAATAAGATTATATTAAAATTGTCAAAAATGTATGTGAATCATGCAGTTATATCAATCGTTTACATTTTCCAGCTCTGTACGCAAATTAGAAATTAATTTATCAACTTCTGTTACATCTCCAAAAAATTGATGATTTAGCAACCGTGTGCGTAAATTGTCTAAAAAGTTTA